GTTTTACAAATGTGTACTCATTCGTATCCTCCCAATAACTGCGATCCCCATTTTACAGGCAACTCAACTGAGGTTAGAGAGGCCACAAATGTGCATGAGGTCACACAGCAAGTAAACGGCAGAGCCAGGATTAGACGCTTGGTCTGTGTGACTGCACGGGAATCAGGATGGAATTGCTGAGAACACGGGCTTTGCTTCAGCCCTGAGTCCTGGCTCTGACCTGCATGCTTTTGACCTTGGGCATGCTATAGCCACTCAAAGCCTCAGTGTCCTTATCTATAAAATGCAGTCCTAGAGTAACCATGCAGGTGGCGAGCGTTAAATGAGATGGTTAGGCTCCATATGGCCTGGCAGTATTATTTAATGTTATTACAACCTTTTCCTGCCCTGCCCAACCCTGAGCTCACCCCATACTGCCTGGCTGTCCCCCACAGACCATTACTGGGACTTCCACCCCCACCACGTGCACAGCGAGTTCGAGAGCTTCGCCGAGAACAACTTCACGGAGCTCCAGAGTGTGCAGCCCCCGCAGCTGCAGCAGCTCTACCGCCACATGGAGCTGGAGCAGATGCACGTCCTCGACACCCCCATGGTGCCGCCCCATCCCAGTCTTGGCCACCAGGTGCGTGCCACCGCCTGCCCCGTCCCCCAGGAGACTGCCAGGCCTGTGGTGGGGCCCGGGAGCTTCACAGGAAGCTGACACAGGCTCTTACCCAACTCAGCTTCCTGCCCCACAGCGCCAACGGCGGCTGGAGCCCCAACGGCTGCCGCCTGACCCCCCGAGTGACCTCGTGACCCCACACCCCTTATCTCGTCTCACCCCGAGTATAGACAGACCCCAGATAATTCTTGCACCTCACTGAGCCTCTCCACCCCAACGCCTTGTTGTGAGCCCTCGTGGGCCTCACTGTCTTCCACCCCCATTCACTAGCCCTCACGGATCCCATACCAAGTCACTGAACATGTCTACTGACCCTGCCTCTCCCCAGTGACCCTCCCTACTGACCCTAATCTGGATCAGTGACCTCTGCTGACCTCTACCACCCCTACTGGCCTCCAGGGTCCCTCCACCACTCATCACCCCACCTATCAAACCCCCTTCCAGACCCAATGCACCGGCCCCCAGCACCAGCCCACTGTGGGCCCACATAACACCTCGGCAGGGAGGAGAACAAGCCACCGCTTCCCAGGTGCCCACGGCCCTAAACCAGGAGGCCCAGCTGGGAGGGCTGGGTGGGCTGGATGTCAGCACCCCTTGCCCCACAGCCTGCACCCTATGTGCAGCGCCTCAACTGGCCCCACTTTTCCCTGGCCCTCCTCCAGTCTCCTGTGCCTGCCATCATCCCCTGCCCTCTGCACTCCTTCTCTCCCCAGCTGACCTCCCTCCCAGCCCCTCTGAGCTGTAAGCTGGCCCTTCCTGACTCTGATCTTCCCCCACCATCCAGGTCTCCTACCTGCCCCGGATGTGCCTCCAGTACCCACCCCTGTCCCCAGCCCAGCCCAGCTCAGATGAGGAGGAGGGCGAGCGGCAGAGCCCCCCACTGGAAGTGTCTGACGGCGAGGCGGACGGCCTGGAGCCCGGGCCTGGACTCCTGCCGGGGGAGACAGGTGGGGCATCTGGCCCTCCACCCTGGCCCCAACCCTGGCTGTGTCTGTGCCCTCCCCCACCCAGCCAGGCCAACTGACCCAGCAACCATGCCGCCGAGTTGCGTGTGTGTGTGTACATGTTTGCCAATGTGTGTGTTTTGTGGGGCTGTCTGTGGCTGTCTATATGTGTGTGTGTGTGTGTGTATCTGCTGTGAGTGCATACAGGCATCTCCATAAAGTGTGCCAGGTGTGTGTGTCTCTGTGCCATGAGTGTGTGTAGATCTGGGTGTGTATGAGCAAGTGTGCAGAGTGAGGGTGTGTGTGAACAGATGTAGGCAGGTGCCTGTGTGCAAGTGGCTGAGTGGGTGTGTGAGAAGGTGAATGTGAGAGCTGGTGTGGATGCGAGTGGGTGTGGCCATGTGTGTGTGTGTGTCAGCATATGAATGTATTTCAGTGTGTGAGTGGTTGTGTGCACGTGTGTGAGGTGTGCATGTATGATCATGTCAGTGGGTGTCAGCAGTGTGTGGGTGTGCGTGTGCTTGAGGCAGGGATGTGAGCATAGGTATATGTGAGTGGGTGTGAGCAGGCATGTGTGAGTATTATGTGTGAGTGGGAGTATGACAGCAGGTGTGTGAGCAAGTGTGTGTGTGAATGTGTATGTAAGCAAGGATGTGTGTGATATAAGTGAGTGTGTGAATGGGCATGAGTGTGTAGGTGTCAGTGGATGTGTGAGTGGATGTGAACATGTTTGAGGATGTATGTAAGCAGGTGTGTGACCAGGAAGGTGTGAGCTGGGGTGTGTGGTATGTATGTATGTGAGCAGGTTTGTGCATATATGAGTGGATGTGTTTTAGCATGTGTGAGCATGTGTGTGTTCCTGTGCGTGAGCAGTGTATATGGGGGTGAGGGCATGCTTGAGCACCTGGGTGAGTGGAGTGTGCATGTGTGAGTAGGTGTGCGAACAGGTGTGTGTGTGAGAGAAGATATATGAATGAGTGTGTGAGAATGGTATGAGTGAAACAGGCGTGGTGGCTCATGCTTGTAATCCCAGCACTTTGGGAGGCTGAGGCAGGGCGGCGGATCACACAGGAGGTCAGGTGTTTGAGACCAGCCTGGCCAACATGGCGAAACCCCATCTCTACTAAAAAAACCAGCATTAGCTGGGCGTGGTGGTGAATGCCTGTAATCTCAGCTACTTGGGAGGCTGGGACAGTGCTTTGAACCGGGAGGCGGAGGTTGCAGTGAGCCAAGATCACGCCATTTGCCTCCAGCCTGAGCAACAAGAGCAAAACTCAGTCTCAAAAACAAAGAGAATGGTGTGAGCAGATGTGATGTGTGAACGTGTAAGGCAAATATGTGAGGCTGCTGAGTGGGTGTGAAACAGAATGTGGCAGAAAGCATGCAGGTGTGCAGAGTGGGTGTCTGTGTGAACAGGTGTGTAAGCATGCAAGTGGGTGTGTATGAGTGAATGTGTGCATGTGTGAGGCAGGTGTGAGTGAGGTGCAAGTAAGTGGTGTGAAATGTGGTGAGCAGGTGTCAATGAGGTGTGAATGAGCTGGTGTGAGTGTTGTGAGTGCATGTGTGAGCAACTGTGAGGTGTGAGCATGCATGTGAGCAGGCATGTGTGAGGTGTGCACATATGAGGTGTGAGCATGTGTGTGTGGGTGTCAGGCTGGTGTGTGAGGTGGAGGTGTGATTGGGAGTGTGAGCATGTGTGTGAGGTTGTGAGCATGTGTGTGAGGTGTGAGGTGTGATTATGTGTGAGGTGTGAGCATATGAGTGGGTGTGAATGTGTGACATGTGAGCATGAGTGGGTGTGAGTGAGGTGTGAGCATGAGGTGTGAGCATGTGTGTGAGCATGAGCGTGTGAGCGTGTGTGTGAGAGACGTGGTGTGAGGTATGAGTGTGAGTTGTATGAACAGGTGAGCATGTGAGATGTGAGCAAGTGTGAGTGGGTGTGTGAGTGAATGGTGTGAGGTGTGTGTGAGCACAAGTGTGTGAGTAGGGGCATGTGTGTGGGTGAGTAATGTGATGTGTGTGAGGTCTGTGTGTGCAAATATGCGTGTGAGCAGGTGTGGGCAGGTGTGACCATGTGTGAGTGGGTAGGTGTGTGTGTGAATGGTGTGAGGTATGTAAGCATGCGTGTGTTGAGCAGAGGCTTGTGTGTGTGAGGGTTAGCAATGTGAGGTGTGAGGGTGAGCAATGTGAGATGTGTAAGCAGGTGTTTGTGCAAGCATATGTAAGCAGGTGTGATTATGAGACCTGGTGTGAGGTGTATGAGCAGGCGTGTGTGCACATGAGTGAGACCTGGTGTGAGGTGTGTGAGTGGGTGTGACTGGGCATGTGTATAAGTGTGAGAAGATGTGACCGTGCATCTGGGGGTATGAGTAGGTCTGAGTGTGTGTGCATGTGAGTGGGTGCACTGCGTGTGTTTGTGGGCATGTGAGTGGGTGTGAATGAGGTGTGAGCATGAGTGGGTGTGAGTGGGGTGTGAATGGGTTGTGAATGTGTAAGCAGATGTAGTGAGTGGGTGTGAATGAGGTGTGAGCATGTGAGTGGGTGTGAGTGGGGTGAATGGGTTGTGAATGTGTAAGCAGATGTAGTGTGTGGGTTTGAGCATGCAGGTGGCTGCCGTGAGTGGGTGTATTGTGGGTGCCAGTGTGTGTGGGCATGTTAGTGAATGGTATGTTTGTGTGCATATGTGTGGGAGCAAGGCATTGTGTGTAAGCTCTCTGAGTGGGTGTGTGAGAGCAGATGGTGTGAATGTGCAAGTGGGTGGGTTATGTGGGTGCAATCAGGTGTGTGAGCGGGTGAGGGTGTGGTGCATTGCACTGCCATGTGTGTGAGCATGTGGGTGTGAGTCTGTGGGTGAGCATGTGCATTGTGTGTGTGTGTGTGAGCGTGTGAGCATTGTGTGTGCACACAAGAGGTATGAGGGTGTATGTGTGAGCAGGTGTGGGTGTGAGCATGTGAGTGGGTGCACTGTGAGCATGAGCGTGAGTGGGAGGGAAACAGTGAGCATGTGTGTATAAGTGGCTGTGGGCGTGGTGTGTATAAGTGCAAGCAGGTGTGGCTGAGTGGGTGCGTTATGTGGGTGTGTGAGCATGTGTATGCGATTGGTGCATTGTGTGGGTGCGAGTGTGTGTGCATGGGGGTGTGTGAGTGCGTGTGTGAGTGGGTGTGTGTGAACGGGTGTGTGTAGGCCAGCAGCTGTTTGTGTGTGTGAGTGTGGGTGCGCTGTGTGTGCACGCCTGGCGCGGGCTGGGGCAGCCGTTCCCCTTCCCTTCTTGGCCACCCCGTCCCCGGGTCCCCGTGTGTGCGCGAGGCGGTGGGGGCGGCTCCCATGTGGGCCCCCGGGCCCCCTCCCACCGGGCCCTCCCCCCGCAGGCAGCAAGAAGAAGATCCGTCTGTACCAGTTCCTGTTGGACCTGCTCCGCAGCGGCGACATGAAGGACAGCATCTGGTGGGTGGACAAGGACAAGGGCACCTTCCAGTTCTCGTCCAAGCACAAGGAGGCGCTGGCGCACCGCTGGGGAATCCAGAAGGGCAACCGCAAGAAGATGACGTACCAGAAGATGGCGCGCGCGCTGCGCAACTACGGCAAGACGGGAGAGGTCAAGAAGGTGAAGAAGAAGCTCACCTACCAGTTCAGCGGCGAAGTGCTGGGCCGTGGGGGCCTGGCCGAGCGGCGCCACCCGCCCCACTGAGCCCGCAGCCCCCGCCGGGCCCCGCCAGGCCTCCCGGCTGGCCATAGCATTAAGCCCTCGCCCGGCCCGGACACAGGGAGGACGCTCCCGGGGCCCAGAGGCAGGACTGTGGCGGGCCGGGCCTCGCCTCACCCGCCCATTCCCCCCACTCCAGCCCCCCTCCACATCCCGCTTCGCCTCCCTCCAGGACTCCGCCCCGGCTCCGGGAGGCCACCTGGGCGTCAGACCCCACCGGGGCAACCTTGCTGAGGACGACCCGGGGTACTTCCTTGGGAGTCTCAAGTCCGTGTGTAAATCAGATCTCCCCTCTCACCCCTCCCACCCATTAACCTCCTCCCAGAAAACAAGTAAAGTTATTCTCAATCCATCCTCTTGCAGCACGGAGTCTCTTTTAAAATTTGTTGTACACCTCTTCTGGCCCGTGTGTGCTGCGACGTCTTTTTGCCATTTGTCCCTCGGGTGTTTACTGAGGACTGTACCCAACGCTGGACCCTGGGAACCAATGACACAGGCGCCTGACCAGGAGTTAGAGTTTGGTGGAAAGAACAAGTCCTCAGTTGTGATGAGGGGAACAGATCCTATTTAAAGCTCTCTACTCCTGGTAGTAGTTGTTGTTTTTAAGCCTTGATGAGGTTTGAACTCATTTGATGATGATGATGATGATGATGATGATGACCATAGCAACAACATTGGATTTTCTGGTCAATTAGTACCTGCCAACCTTGAGCTGTGGAGTCTAATATCACTCTATTTTATAGAATGGGAAACTGAGGCTTGTAGAGGTCAAATTATTTCCCCAAGGTCACAGCCGCTGAGTGGCCAAGTTGGATCACACTCCAGGTCTGTCCCCGACACATCAACATGGAGTAGGAGGCTTCACTTATCTGGAAGGGGATACACGTCAGCATTCCAAGGACAGGACTTAAGCCCCAAAGCTCCTGTGGGCCACACAGCATTCTCATGAGCTGCACGCCTAGCAGGACTTTAGACCCAGGTGAATCCCCGGTGGGAACCCCAGGGTCTGTTTACTTTCCAGCTTCTCGCCACAGCAGGGGAGAAACAGACCGAGCTGAGCAGAGAAGCCTGTGAGCCCTGTGTTTTCCTTCAGACGATAGCAAGAAGTGGCAGTAGACAGCACGGGAGTGAGAGACTTCCCAACGCCATCGAAGACCTCGGGGAACCCAGATTCTGGGGTCATCACCGTAGGGACAAATGCCCCTCCACACCTCCTCACCCCCAGAGGGCTCACTGCAGCCCAACCCTGCAGCTCCCTAGTCCTACTTCAGGGCCACAAGAGAAGGCAAAATGGTGTTGTGTCTTCATTATTCTATTTTTATTTTTTATTTTTTTTGAGACAGGGTCTTACTTTGTTGCCCAGCCTGGAGTGCAGTGGCACGAACATGGCTCACTGCAGCACTGACCCTCCGGGCTCAAGCGATTCTCCCACCTCAGCCTCCCCAGTAGCTGGGACGACAGGTGTGCGTCACATGCCTGACTGATTTTTGTATTTTTTGTAGAGATGGGGTTTCATCATGTTGCCCAGGCTGGTCTCGAACTCCTGAGCTCAAGTGATCTGCCTGCCTTGGCCTCCCCAAAGTGCTGGGATTACAGGTGTGAGCCATTTCGCCCAGCCCATTTTTATTTTATTATTATTTTTTGAGACGGGGTCTCACTCTTGTCACCCAGGTTGCAGTGCAGTGGTGCGATTTTGGCTCACTGCAGCCCTGAACTCCTTGGACTCAAGCAATCCTCCCACCTCAGCCTCCTGGATAGCTGATACTACAGGTCCACACCACCACACCTGGCTAATTTGTGTGTATTTATTTTATTTTTTATTTTTTTAGTAGAGGTGGGGTTTACCATGTTGCCCAGGCTGGTCTCAAACTCCTGACCTCAAATAATCTGCCCGCCTCAGCCTCCCAAAGTGCTGGGATTACAGATGAGCCATCACACCCGGCCTAACATTTTAAAAATTATAAATTATAAACCAACTTCATACGTGTGACAATCCTGTGCAGTGGGTGCTGCTATCACCTGCCCTGCTTTACAGATGAGGAAATCAGGTGCTTTGAGATTAAAGAGATGGCAGTGCCAGGACTCAGAGTCACCCTGGCCCCAGGGTCTGTGGACATGACCACTGCCTGAATTGCCCGCAAGGATGCTCCTGACCCGTTAGCCTTAGGGTTATGGGCCCAGCATGCTCCCACCGTACGATTTGCTGTAAGAGAGACACACACAGGACTTGGGGGTACCCCTGAGGCTCGCCAAGGGTTGGGGAGGCAGAATTGTGCTGAGGGGGGTGGAGGGGAAGGGACAGGAGCCAGCCAGGGACAATGTGGCCCTACCTTCTCCCTGGAGAGACCTCAGCTCTCTGGAATTCATCTATATTTAGCAGGTGGCTGGACAGGAGGCAGATAAGCAGAGCCTGGGGAGGGGGGAGGTCCCCATATATAGTGGGAAGGACAAGACCCCACTCAGTCCCTCTTTGGGTGACCTGTGCCTGCTTGGTGCCTGGTGTGACGTCTCTCAGGATGCCTGAGCCGGGGAAGAAGCCAGGTAGCTTTAGGACTAGGGTTGGGTCTAAGTGTGAGAGCAGGGGGGTGTCCACAATTGGGGAGCAGGGCTAGGAGGGAGTTCTTGAGGGGGTTGATGAGGACGTGGCCTCTGAGCCCCAGGACAGGGGCAGCCAGTCCTCCGGGGTCGTTTTTGATTCTCGGTTTCTTTTTCCTATCCCTCTGATGAGAGGTGAAGGTAAACCCAAGGTCAGGGACACAGACAGGAAGCACCCGGGGTCAACTCATTCTGCGAACGCAAAAGGACCCCTTCCCTGTCCCATTTCCTTCGCCTTCCACAGCAAGGTTGCCCGCAGACAGAGCCCGTGTTTAGTGTGGAGCTGAGCCAGGCTCACGGCATGCCTTCGGACCAGTCTCTACCCACTCTGGGTCTCAGTCTCCCAACCTGGGGCGCTGGGGGTAGTGGTGGCATTGGGTTGGTTCTTCCTGGCTGTGACATTATCTGCTTCATGAGCCTATATGGTGTGGCCCCCATGTTGAGGGTGACACAGCCCCCCTTCTCTGAGAGAGGACAGTCAGGAGCCCCAGAACCCAGACCAAGGGCAGGGAAAATCACAGCCCAGGGTCCTGGGCCTGGGCTATGCCCTTACCAAGGTTGTCCAGGGCAGAGCTCCAGGTCCCCATCCCCCAACGCCCTCCCAGGCCAGCTTTATCTCAGTCGCTGATTCTCAGCCTGAGGTCCTTGGAGGACAAATTTGGCCACATTCCAAATAGGCAGAATTCCCTGCCCCCTGCCAAGGGCCCCAGATGGTGGGAGGAAGGGAAGCCGAGTTCATCACGGGTGTCTCCAAGCAGGGAAAGTGGAGTATCCAGGGGACACATGCAGCAAAAGTCTTGCGTGGAGGTCAGGACCACAGCCCTGGCTCTTCCGACTACTAGCTGTGTGATCTTGGAGGAACTGCTTAGCTTCTCTGAGCCTCAGTGTCCTCTGAGAAATGAACAGAATAACTGCAACTACCTAGGAGAACTGGTGGAGTATTACACGAGTGGATACATGGAAAGTGCTAGCACAGTATTTACTAAGAGGGGCTGCAGAGGTGGGGTGCACGCTCCAACCAGGGGCCGCTGTAGCCTCCACCTGGCCCTGCAGTCTCAGCTTTCAGCAAGAAGCCACGGTCAGTGGAAGTGGCCGCAGGCAGCCCTGCCGTGTTTGAGGTGGAGACAGAGCGGGCAGGAGTGAAGGTGCACTGGCAGCGTGGAGGCAGTGACATCGGAGCCAGCAGCAAGTATGGCCTGGCCACAGAGGGCACACGGCATACACTGACAGTGCGGGAGGTGGGCCCTGCCGACCAGGGCTCCTACGCAGTCATTGCTGGCTCCTCCAAGGTCAAGTTCGACCTCAAGGTCACAGAGGCAGGTAAGATTCTGGTCAGGCTTCCCTGAGGTTCAGGCTCCTGGGGGGAGGGCCAGCCCAGCGCCTCTCCATCCATCCAGGGAACAGGAGGTACTTTCACACTTCCTTGCCTTTGCTGTGGCTGTGCCCCCCGCCAGGAACCCCCTTTCCCCCCTTTCTTTACATGACCTCTCTGAGTACCCCAGGTGCCATCCTGGCCTGTTCCAGCCATGGGGTAGGTGGGAGAGATGAACAAGACACAACCCCAGTCTCCCCCTGCAGACCTCCCTGGGGAGATGACCCTGCACAGAGAGCACCTTGTGTGCTGGTAGCGAAGTCCCAGGAGGTGTGGATGAGGGGAGTGCAGCCCAGCCTGTGGGGCTGCTCTAAGGCTGGGGCAGAGCAGGGTTGGACCTGGAACTGTTCAGGGCAGGTGCAGAGGACGTGGGAACTGATGACCTGGGACAGGGAGGAGAATGTGAGAGGCAGGGTGGCTCTCCAGCTGAGCATGAGCTGCCTCTGAAGGGCCCAGGCAGCGGGAGGACAGCCATGGCAGATTTTCCTCATCCACAACAGACTCATGGGTCCGATGCTCTGGAGAGAGAGGGTGGAGGGGTCTCTGGTTAGTGACTGTACCACGACTCCTATCTGATCCTCTCCAGAGAAGGCAGAGCCCGTCCTGGCCCCTGCCCCTGCCCCTGCCCCTGCTGAGGCCACTGGAACCCCTGGAGAAACCCTGGCCCCAGCCGCTGAGCTGGGAGAAAGTGCCCCAAGTCCCGAAGGTGAGAGGGGCTGGGCAGGGAGGGGCAGGATCCGTGGGTAGAGGGTGTCCAGGGCAGGTCTCAAAAGCCTTTGGTTGGCCGGGCGCCGTGGCTCAGGCCTATAATCCCCAGTACTCTGGGAGGCCAAG